TATATATAGTCACCAAAATTAAATGCATACTTAAACACAAACTATCCATATATCCATATAGATTATTATTTTGTTTATTAAAGAAAATAAAATGTCTCTTTTGAGGGAGGTCTTCTGAGACCAGGGTCAAAGACAGGTGGAAATGTATATTCCCCCTCGGGGTGATCCCTACAATATGATATAATTAGTTAATCAGTTTATAAATGCAAATGCTGAATAACCTGACAACTTTTATGTTTTTTTTTAGTTCCCAGTTTACAACTGACAGCACCCATGCTGTATCAGGAAAAAATACCTCTGCATTAGGTACATTGTTCTCTTCAAACAGGGTGACAAGAATAACTGGTTTAAATAGAAAAGAGCGCACTAATAAGTCATGTCTGAATGAAACTGCAAATATTTGTCTCATTTCTTTTGTTACATGTCGCATAAAAGCTTCCAGTCTTGATGTCAGCTGGGCCCAGCAAAAGAAATATAAAAATTTAAAATATACTTTGTTCAGATCTGCTTTTTTCTGTAAGTGATCTGCCACCACATCTTGACTCCCACTGTGTCCCGTGTTACCTGCCTGTGTAGGAGACGATGAGGGCAGGCGTTGAGCCTCCTGCTATTTGGAAAGTCCAGAAGGCTCTGCTGCAGAAATTTGTGCCAGAACTGAGAGACGGAAGGAGGGTCTTTTTTGCCACTAACAGTGTAAGTTAGATAACATCATTTCGGTTCAGAGTTTTTGCTATGGTACTAACTTTGTCTTTGTGTTTGCAGTACCTAGGATACTTTGGGAATGCACAGAACATGTACCAGAGAGTATATGTGAAATTTTTGGACACTGTTAACAAAAGGGAGTAYGTGCGAGTCTGTAGTCGGAAGCCACGCTGCAAGCCGATGAACTCGCTGAGGTACGCGTGGAGCGATGCAGGTAAAKCCATTTTTGATCTAATGGCTGTTTTCGTGTTTTAACTGCTCTCACTCTACCTCCCAGTGGTGCTCAGGTGAAAACTCTGCTCGGSTTGACAGCTCTACCTTCCTCAGTCTTCCAGAACCAAAAGGCCCGACTCAAACAAGTAAAGCCCAGAGCGGAGCCACCGCCCAAGAAGAGGAGGAAGTGGAAGGAGGAGTTTTCACCCGCAGCCTCGAGGTCATCACCAGAAGAAGGTGCTGACAATAATGACGGCAAAGCCTTTAAACAACTTTTTTTTAATTGTAGCTTGAAAACTTTTAAATCCTCATCCTTGATTTTATTTTTGTTTTTATCTCTCCGTCACACACGCTCAGAGTTAAACCCTTCGTTTGCTTCAAGGCCCCCGAACACACGAACCATGAAGGAGACGTTCAGGAGCTTCGTGGAGCTGCTCGTCCGCGTCGCCTTAGATGAAGGTGCACTGACGGCACTGGAGAAAGCAAATGGTTGGTGATCCACACGTTAGATGYGCAGGTGTTCTTGGTTAGGTTGTGCTGAGCTTGGGACATGTTCACTTGTTTTCTTTCAGACGAGTTGCTGCTGCCACATATGAAAAGAGTAGATGGGATGATCATCGACAACAAGAAACGCTTGCTTAACAAACTGCACATAGGCCAGGTCCTGAAGGTGAGTTTTGTGCCCTGTTGGCAACTTGAATAATGTAATCAAATCATTAAGAAGCGTACAGAAGGTACGCTCAATTTTGGTTTACAAAAGAGAAAAGACTGTATTGTGAAGCTGTTTTTGTGTTGTTCAGTCGGCCTTGGACGGTTTTCCAGAGATCTCAGTGGTGACTGAGCTGAAGAAAGACAAGGAAACTCCGGCCTTTAAAGTACGCCTCAGCGGAAAAGCGTACAACAAGAAAACTATGAAGCCCTACAAGATGCAGAACAAAGTGCCTCAGGTAGGACGAGAGCAGAGATTTATTGTGCTTTGATTATTTGTCCAGCAGAGGGTGCAGTGTACCCATTTTTGCTTTTTCTGCATTTTCTTTTAACCTTTTTTTTCCTCAAGTTAGATTACTTAGATTGGATTGTAATCACAACTCCTCCAGGCAGGGACTACATCCGTTGAGACTCACTGCTTTATACAAAATCCCCTGCATTCCCCTTCTGTTTTCATGTTCATTATTCTGAAGAGGAAAAAACACAATTCAAATATCCTGAAAACATTTTAATAACTTGTGCATTTTCTTCCTCTAGGAGTACACAGTGGACCAGCAGAAAACTCAGTGGTTCTCTCTGTACCACTCTTTGCATCATTACAAATACCACACATACCTCATGTGTAAGGACGAGGTAGGACGTTACGGATAGTTTGTGTTAATCTGCTAGTGCTAAGTCGGCGTTTAATTTTGGTGACAAATTATCCTGCTGGAACATCTTTTAAATAATCCTTTCTTTGTGCTTCGTTTCCTCCAGATTGCCTCTCTCCAGGGTCGGGCGGGAGACCTGGGCCAGCAGGAAACCGTGCAGAAGTGTCTGCAGGACGGAGCTTGGGTAGAGGGGCTCTTTGATCGCTTTGGGGAGCTAATCAGTCAAGTGCAGCAGGTCTGCAGATGATTTTAGCCATGGGAAATTCACTTTAAAACACAGAAGAACAAAAACAACAGACAGAATGCTTGAAAATCATAAAAGGCCACACAATGGAATGAAATGGATATTTTCTTCAAGCCACAAAGAGGAGGCTGTTACAAGCAGAAACTTGATCAGCAGAGGATGCAGACTTTGTTTTGGAAGACCTCCATAAAATGAGACTCCTATTTGTAGTTTTAAAAGCCCACTTTTTATGGGCCTTTTTTCTAGATTTATATTGTTTTTTTTTTATCAACCCTCTCTTTCCCCATTAAATGTCACATTATAACTCTAAACTTTAATTATGCACTAGATAGAAAGCAATCAGCATAGGAACTAGAGCACAGCTAATAAAAAGGATCCTGATTGCCTACTGTTTTAACAAGCCTTCCTCAGTCAAGTTGGCTTCCATACAAAGGTGATATATTGTACAAAAAAGTCTATATATTATATATAACTGTAGTTATGTACTGTTTGCAAACATTCATTTTGTAATAGAGTATCAACATATGCATAATAATGTACAGTTTGTAGAAAAATGTGGGAACTACAGCAGTTGTAGTTTAAGGTTTGTGCATCAGAATTTCTGCACGTTACTCTTGTGAGAGATCAATACCTTGAATTATTTTAGGGTAGGATGAAACAAAAGTCTTTATATTGCTTTTAACAAAGCCAACATTTTATTACAAATTTATATTTTTTTGCAGACGTAACTATCGTCCTCTGTCCACTGCAACTTTTTAAAGACGCGTTTTTCATTGTGTTTTCGTGTTTCTTCACACAGCTGATGGTCGGTCAGGTTTTGTGATATCAAAAATAATCATTAAACATGCAGTTTGTAAATAAAATGGCACATGCATTTGATGTGTTCTGGTTATGTTTGGGTTGTGGAAGTGGGCTTTTTGTTGCCAAATTCCCAAATTTGGAGGCTCAGTTGAGCTTTCTTTCATTAACAAAACTGTCATTGTGTTAAAACAGTAAATAAACCAACACATCCATGTTTTTCTTCCAGAAATGAGATCTCCTAGAATTGGGGATTAAGTACAGTCTGAGAACTATTTTAGCTGGAAACCTACAGGTCAACCATTAATTTTCACTGAAAAGGTTCAATCCTGGTTTGAAAAAAAGAAAACAAAACTCTTGTAAGATCCACAACTCAGATAGGTCAGTTAAAGTTTAACTCCTCTGGCACACCGAGAGAGGTGTGTGCAGTCCATATTGACTCGGCTCCTTCAGAAGGACACAGCAAGGAGGAAAAACTCAGCGCTGCTCGCCCACCACACTCTCACGACCCAACTGTTCATCTGCTGACTTTGGGTTGTCTGAAAGGGTTTTAGAGGGGCTGTTGAATAAAATATGACTTAGAGAGAATGGGAAAAAAACTGACTGGAAATGTGGCAATTCTTTCGAAAACAAAAGCGTCTCTGTGATGGAGCATCGGGACTGTGAGGAAAGGCTACTGTCCTTTAGAGCTGAAGACGTCTTGAGGGTGGAGGACAGGCTAGTTAGGCATGCGGTTGGGATTCCAGCAGAGGCACAACTGGTAGAGTCTGAGCATCTGCTCTCCAGATGAAAAGCACATGAATTTTAATGCACGGCATTGTTCCGTGTGTGTGTGTGTGTGTGTGTGTGTGTATGTGTGTGTATGTGTGTGTTGGGGGGGGATGCTTGTGGCTGTGTGGTGATGTGTATAGAAACAGGATAAGTGTGTTGCATAAAACTGCAAATCAGAGGGTTGTTTTCTGGCTTTAAGTGAAACATTTATATGCTATGATGATAACATGGATTTATATTTCATCAGTCATGTAATTTAGCAACTTCGCATTCCCAACCAGTAACCTACAAACCAGGGGTGTCACCAGGGGTGTTTTAAGGACAAGGGGGGCTTAGCCCCCAGGAGACGCACAGCATTTTTGTATATTATATATTTGTA